TTTCTTTCTTATTGCTTGGCAAGTGGGTTTAGTAGTCTCTCAGTCGCTGATTCGGCTGCCAGTAACCCGTATACTAGTTTAACGGACGGAAACGAGCATCAGATACGTCGTAATGTTTAGCCTCTGGGAAGACACTCTGCCATCTGATTTTTTCTCAGATATTGACTGATAACTTTTTTTTTTTTAAGTATTTTAAAATTTACGTGTCGATTAAAGAAAGGGGGGCTTGTCTAGACTAAATACATACAACATAGGCTAATTATTCATAGTAAGATATCCCGGGAGCATTCAGTAGAAAGATGGAATATAATTTCGAGCAGCCTATACATTTTTTTTTATCGATGTGAGTGGGCGCGAATGCAAAATTTATGAATCATTTAAGTTTGTGTGTTTCTCTTCTCCATTCTCCACGTTTGAATCGATGAATTGCTCTTTTTATGTATATTTTGTGTATTTTGTATGAATTGGAGAGGGCTTTGTTTATGATTTCTAACCGAACTTGTTTTAAATTAGTTCAGATAAACGGTGGCATGGATTCGTACGTGCAAGAGATAAGGTTGTTATCGGCTTCTCGGAAGGTCACTTAAACTGTTCGTGGCATGTAGGGTTCGTGGTGTTCAACACTGATACGAAATCTCCGAAGATACAAGATAACCGGACATTGGTCGACCAGTGGGAAGCTCCGGGAACACTGTCAATACTAGTAATTTGATGTACATTTTGTATTTACTTATTTGGTTTATTTATTTATTTATTTGTTTGTTTATTTGTTTACTTATTTTCTGCCGTAATGGCCTTGCGAGGCCTCATCGATAACGGTAACAATTTCAGTCAGATTATTTTTTTCTCTCGGTGTTGATGAAACTGAAGAACGTAGGTATCTGCTCTCACGTGTCTAATGGCGGTCCACGACATTTATTTCCATGTTGCATTAACAGCTCATGAATAAACCGGCTTGACTAATCAGTTACATTGGGGATTGTATGTTGCAGGGGCACAACTTTATTGTAAGATGTAGGCCTATATTTTTTTTTGAAGCTGTGCATATGGCAGGAGGACTCAGGGTTATCCAAAAGCCATGTCATTTGCCTATTTTATCTCTCGTGGTATACCGGTTAAGCTTACCCTAGTGTTGTTGGACTATGAATGAAAAAGATGACAGGTTTTATCTTTTCTCCGTTCCATCCATTCATCTGTCAAGCTGCCCCGCTATTTCTCTCTACCTTCCTTCCTCCCTCCTCCCTCCTCCTCCCTCCCTCCCTACCTATCTCCCTATCTCCCTACCCCCCTGCTCTCCCCTCTCTCTCCTGCTCTCCCTTTCCCTCCTTCCCTCCCGCCCCTCACCCCGTTTCTCTCATACTCGCTCGTGGTCCTCTCAAGAGCTAGTCACAACCGAATAATTAGTTCTTTTCTTTGTAATGCAAATAATGCAGCGCCATTGTTGGATCTCTCATCGGAATGTCAGGGCTTTCTGTCCAAGTGTTCTACTCTAAGATTTAAGAAACGCCTATTATTACTCCTTTTAGGAGCTTAGTTATTCGCTTTCTAGGTCTGGCATATATATATATATATTATATATATATATATATATATATATATATATATATATATATATATATATATATACTCTCTCTCTCTCTCTCTCTCTCTCTCTCTCTCTCTCTCTCTCTCTCTCTCTCTCTCTCTCTCTCTCTCTCTCTCTCTCTCTCTCTCTCTCTCTCTCTCTCTCTCTCTCACTGTGTCTTTTCGCGTGTGTTTGTATCTATGTTTGAGACTGTATGTGTGTGTGCATGCATGTGTGTGATTTATTTTGTACTTAACTTGTTTGGCGGTTTTATTTGTAGCAGATTGCCAAGGGTATGGACGGGGAAGAGGGAGGGACGTGGAAGAGAGAGGGGCGTGAAGAGAGAGAGTGGAAGGGAGGGACGTGGAAGAGAGAGGGACGTGGAAGAGGGAAGGACGTGGAAGAGGGAGGGACGTGGAAGAGGGAGGGACGTGGAAGAAGGAGGGACGTGGAAGACGCGGGCTTTGGCAAAAATCCCGGTTCGCGTCCCGTAGGAAGGGTGGCTTCCGTTCCGGCTTTTTCCTTGGAGAGATGAGTGATGGCGGGCTCGTCGTCACGCTGTTGGAGGCGCGTTTTTAAGGATGACGTGTCTCTACGCTGGCTTTTATTTCTTTGCATTTTGCTTCGAGGTGTGGGAGTGATCTGACGCCTTGGCTGGCGAGCTTCGAGCCTGTTTCACGCGGTCGGTTCGATGGGTTGTGTTTTTTTTTTTTTTTTTTTTTTTATATATATACTGTTTTCCCCCCATAGCGTGTTCGTTCAAGTAACAAACTAAGATTTGCATTCGACGGCAGAATTGAGGTTCGCAAAACCGGGTCGACTTCGGTGTTTTGTCTCTTTTCTGCACGGTTAGAGGAGCGAAGAGCGGGCCGAGAGTAACGTGAGTGAACTCTCTCAGTTGGGATGCTCGGTTTCAGAGAGGTTAGGCTGCTGTTAGACTCTCTCTCTCTCTCTCTCTCTCTCTCTCTTCTCTCTCTCTCTCTCTCTCTCTCTCTCTCTCTCTCTCTCTCTCTCTCTCTCTCTCTCTCTCTCTCTTCTCTCTCCTTCCCCTTCCCCTTCCCCTTCCCCTTCCTTCCCTTTCTCCCTTCTCTTCTCCTTCTCCTTCCCTCCTCCTTCTCCTCCCTCCTCCTTCCTCCCTCCTCCTCCTTTCTCCCCCCCTCCCTCTTTCTCTCCCTCTCCTTCTCCCCTCTCCTCCTCCCCCTCTCCCTCTCCTTCTCCCCTCTCCCCTCTCCCTCTCCCTCTCCCTCTCCTCCCTCCCTCTCACTCCCCCTCTCCCTCTCCCTCTCACTCCCTCCCTTTCACAGATATACAGTACGTATGAAGGACGGCACCCATTCACAGCTATGCATATGAAGACTGTATAGCATGTATAATGCATATTAAGTCCACGCATTGTCGTCTGAAGTTTCTAAAGCCCGTCTTACTCTCTACCCTTCCCCCCTTTCCTCTTCTCATAACGTCTTGTACTTATGCGTTGATTTTGTGTCGTACCCGTAGCCTTTTCCCATGGTTCTGTTATTTTTTTATATATTCTTACGGATGTGCATTTACTCGGGTGGTAAACATAGCCATATCCTTGCAAGAACCTCTTTGTGTGTTATTGAGTTGCCGCAGAATAACCTTTCTGTTTACACAAAAGCTCGAGAAACATGTTCTTCTCATCGTATTCCCATATATTTTGCCGCGTGCGCACCGTTTACCCCGTTTTATCGTCTGTTTCACCTTTCACCAACCGTCTCTTTCGGCGGCCAAAAGTCACCCTTTCCTCCGTCACTGACACCATCCCTACACCTACCTGGCACACATGGGGTGATGTTTAGTATACGGTCTCTGCCGCATTTGTCCTCGGCAAGTATGCTCTTCTCCATACCTGCCGTGTCCCGTCCGCCTCCTTGCCGTACCTGGCGTCGCGCCCACCCATCGGGCAGCCCCCCCCCTCTCCCCATCTTCCCTTATCCTGCCCTCTCCTCGCTTATCCTACCCCATCCTCCTTTATCCTCCCCCATCCTCCCTTATCCCCCCCCATCACCCCTTATCTTCCCCATCCCCTAAGAATCCTGGTCTCAGAGCGACCTCCATCGCGGCTGAGAGGCGGCCACGTGTGTGAAGTGCGGAGAAGGGGAACGTGTGCGAGGACGTCGCTAAGATGATCACGATTGGACGTGCATGACGCTCCCTGGTTTTCTCTCTCTATCTTTCTCTTTCTCTCTCCTCTTTTAATAGATTGAGAGTAAGTATAAGTGTGAGAGAGAGAGAGAGAGAGAGAGAGAGAGAGAGAGAGAGAGAGAGAGAGAGAGAGAGAGAGAGAGAGAGAGAGAGAGAGAGAGAGAGAGCGCGCTCTTGCGTACGCGTGAATGTGTTTGTGTCGTGTGTGTATGTTACGATGTTGTGGCATGAGGTAGCGTGACGGAGTCTGATCATGACGTACCTGGATCTCGGTGAAGCAGCAGGACCTTAGCCTGATCAATACAGTTACGAGAGGAGGGCTAACGACCCACCCAAACTTTGGGTAGATCACACAGCGGCGAAGAACACTTGGATATCAAAATGCCCTCCCCCAGTCCTCGCATATATCTGGCTATTTATCTCATTTTTTTTTCTCCGCACCATTCGTCCGTCTGTCTATATGTCTCGCCATCTGCCCCTCCCTCTCTCTTTCTCTTTCTCTCTCTCTCTCTCTCTCTCTCTCTCTCTCTCTCTCTCTCTCTCTCTCTCTCTCTCTCTCTCTCTCTCTCTCTCTCTCTCTCTCTCTCTCTCTCTCATTTCTCCTGGGAATTAAGCAAATTATAACAGAGGGAATCTAAATGAATATGCAAGGATTATATGAAAAAGAGAAATTGATATATCGTCCCTCACGCGCACACACACACACGGAGAGAGAGGAAGGGGAAGAGGAAGGTAGGGGGAGGGGGAGATACAGTGTGTAGAGGCAGGTGTAATGAGGGAGAGACAGATGACCGGAGGAAATTATGTATTTCTTTAAATCAACTGTTTAGGCCAATTAATAATGACGAATGTTGGCAGTGTAAAACCACTGACTTCCGTGTAACACACTTTAATGAAAGTAATAATTATGATGATGCAAATGATAGTGATGATTATGATAAGGATGATAAGGTTAACGATAATCATTTGAATAAACAAACATATTTTCGAGGCTATTAGCAAAGAAAAACAAATATTGGAGAAGCTTTGCATTGAAACCGGAGCGAACTAAGCGGAAAAGCCACTCATTTACCCAAGGCCAGGGTGAAAGGGGGGTGGGGGATGGTACTTAGCTGTCTGTGATGTTCTTTTTCTTTTTGTTTGTCTAGGTTTTACATGTTACACTTACTTGCAGGTGGCCGATGATATGCTCCGTTGACGTGTTTTGTTGCCAGTGGTCGCGGTGACAGGAAAAGAACACTGAGCAATTGAAAGTTAATGACGGAAGTTCGGGAGTCCTTATCTATTTATTGATTTATTGTTATTATTATTTTTATTATTGATTTTTTGTGCCAATTTCTGGACGCGACAGTGTGTTCTGTCATCCATCAGCTGTTGTGCTGGTGCGTAGGGTTGAGGATGGGTTAAGGGGTAGGCCCTGAATAACCTCCGCCGAAGCCCGCGAGCCGTTGCAACTCGTGAATGGCAGGGAGATAAAAGTAAACAAGAGCTCATCCCAGGTGCATTTTGTTGTCGACGGCGGCGGCTGCGAACCACGATGCTTCAGGTCCTCGTGGCTTATTCTCAGGCTTGTGTTCTGCCTCAATAGACGGGGTCTTCCGGGACTTCGTGGAGGCGGGCGTGGGGGGGGCGGACAGACTGAGGGGCAAAAGAGGCAGACAAAGTAGTTAGGCAGGCTGTCTCTCAGTCAAGCGGAAGTAGATTGGTAAGTAAATAGAGAAGGTAATGGACAGATGACTAGGTAGACAAATAGGCGATCTTTTAGGAAGACAGAGACGTAAAATCGTAAACGGACAGTTAAGTTTAAAGACGGGCAGTCAATCCACTTTTCTGCGTTTCTATCTGGCAGCTAGGCGGACTGGCGCGCGCGCGCGCACACACACCACACACACACACACACACACACACACACACACACACACACACACACACACACACACACACACACACACACACACACAACAAACAAACAAACAAACAAACAGGCAGAGACATACATATAAGACTGACAATCATTCTGGCCGGCAGACAGATTGACAAAATACCGGAAAACAGTTATTGGCGGTCGAGTTGTATGGACGTGTTCTTGTCTGGGAGATGTGCAGTCAGTGTAGTGTATTGCACAGAATGAGGTGCATTTTTTTCTTTTTGTAAATATGTAATTTTACATGTCTGTTTTTTTATCTACTTGTACATATTTATCAGTCACTGTTTCATACATATTTGTGTGTGCATGGGTATGTAGGTAGCCATATAAATGTATATATTTGAAAGGAAATAGGTACGTGTATAGATGAAAAAATAATAATTATAAAAGTCCATGACAGCCCCATCCCTTCCCCTTAAAATATCTATAATGAGCATGGCGGGCTGGTACCTATTTATTTTGGGCAACCAATTTGAAATCCCGGCCAGGCTGCTCCCCTCCCCCATCGCGCCATTCAGCGAGCAGGAACCCTTCATTAAGGTCGGGTCGCTCTCCCTCGTCGCCGCAGAGCTTCATTCCCGTTCATACAGCTGATCATCGGCTGTTCTTGTTAATGCACGTGGGAATGCAGCTTAATGCCGTGCAGAGGCCGGTGTCGTCGTTGACCTTAGCGTCTGCGTGCACTGTGTCCTGCTGTTGCTGTGTCTCCGCCGTGGCCAAACAGCCCCATTGGCGACGACACCCGTCACTCCCGATTACGTGGCAGCCGGCGTCGTGTGTTACAGGGGGAGGCCGTGGCTGGGTGTTGGGGTTGGATGCAGGAGGAGTCCGGCAGAAACCCCCATTGATATTCCTTGTATATTCTGATGAGGGCTGGTCTGTTTTTTTATCTCTCAGGCTGGAGTTCAGGACTTGCAGGGACGATGGAGTGTATATATACCCGAGGCGTGTGGGGATAGAAGTTCCAATTTGTATTCTGCTTCGAAGGGAAATAAGAGAACAAAGGCTGAGTCACCCGGATGTAGGGGGCTCTGGTGTATTATTTTTTTTCGTGTTTTTGTGTTGTCAAGGTTGAGTGCTGAGACGAAATTTGAAGTTTGATTTTTTAATTAACGAAGTGGGAGAGGGCGAAATATTTCATTAGGAGGTAGTGTTAGTAATGCTGATGTTTATGCTGGTTAGGGCTACTTGTAGATTCATGCTATGACTGCTCCTGTGGCCGATGTGCTACTGTTGTTACATGATCGTCATCATTTAGTCATTATGTTATTTTTTGATTGTTGGCAAATGGATCAACAGGATGTAGATTACACGCTCTAACATATTTCTAAAGGTTTGAGATTCATTGGATACGGAGGCTTATCTCTGTCTTCAACCTTTTATTAAATCATTAGCTTATACTTAATAACTTAGCAGTGAGACGAGATATTTGAAACCTTGATATTACTACATTGCTTATATTTTATATTAAACTGAGATACGGAGGGTGATTCTCATCGGAGAGATGGAAGGAATGTGTTTGTTTATATTGTTTACTTATAGAAAGTTATTTTCGCAGTTAAGAGTCATAAGACAGCATTTACGATGATCATTGTTAGGCTGTGGCAAGTGCCTGGGTTCAGTGCCTGGCTTGGGTGATTGTATGGAACAACGGCAATGTGTTTATGTTGCGTGTAGGACCAGCTGCGTCGGTCACACGATGACCGTCTTCCCATCCTGCATTGATTTCTTACCTTTGGTTCTGGTATCATGGGACCTGTTCCTTCTGCTATGCCTGTGGCTGTGGGTGGTGCTCCCAGGCTGCCGCTGCAGGTGTGGTGTCTGTCACTCGTCCAATTGTGCCTCTTTGAGCTGCTGCTGCTGTCCGTTGCTGCCGTTTTATTGCTCTTTCTGCCCGCTGGACTCTGTGCTTTTCCTCTTTTCTTTCTGACTGGAGTCCTCTTCAGGGTTGGTTTCTTATTGTTTTGTTGCGTTGGGAAATTTCGCTGTTCCTTCATTGTTGCTCGTGTATGTGGCGTTTTTTTTTATCTTATCATTTGTATTGTTTCCTGTTATCAGTGTCTGGTTCTGGATTTTTCTTTATTTAATTCCGTTGCTATTTAAGCTCGTCTCTACTTTGAACTAGTTGTTTTGATATTAAGAAAATTTTATTAGTAATAAAGAGATTGTGACCAGGAAAATGCTGATCTTACGGGTTTTGTATTAAACCAAGAGGTATTGAGATCATAACTTCTATCTTGCCCCCCCCCCCATGCCTTTCCCCCCGCACCTCTTCGTGTGACGCTCTCTCCTCCTGCTGCCACAGCTGCTGCCGTAGATGACGATTGCAATAATGATAACGATAATGAGGATGGTAATCGTGACGAAGTTGCTCTAAAAGATGGACTAGATTTGGTTTTATCAAAATTGAAAATCGCGAAGGGGTAGCTGTAGAAGGTATGCCGGCTTTGGATGTAGTTTTTTTTCTGTTCGTATCTTCAGTATGAAGGTGCTGTGGTAGAAATATCCAGAGTGCTATATGATGTTCAGTCAGTATTCGGGTATAAACCTTTAGTCACGCCTGCTGTGAGGATGATCTCTCGGCTACTGCCATGAAGCTATTAAAGAAAGAAATTTGCTGTTAAGAGGAGGTTTTCAATCATTATTGGTTTGTAAAAAGTACAGTGCACGAAAGTAAAAAAAAAAGAAGTTATTTTCTGCCTGTCTGCCATTCTATCACCACGGGAATGTATTCACATTTCCGCATGTCTCCATGATCCCAGGTCGTGCCCTTGGTCATCGGCACTACTCTATACTACCCCCCCTCCCCCCAATGATTCTAGAATTACACTAATGATTGATTCAGGGCAACTGGGCCGGATTCTTGAAGAGCACCACTTCATCAGAGCGCCTGCCGTTGAATCAAGGCGCGAGCGAGGCCGTCTTGGAAGCACAGGCGAGAGCACTAGCGGTGGCAGGGACAGCGGCGGCAGTGAGGTGACGGGGAATCTTTCTAGTTTCCTCCTTGACAGGTTTCTCGGAATGTCACGTAGGGCGCTGTGTCATTTACACATTGTTTGCACGTCACTAAGGTGACAAGGTACGCCTGCTCGGAGTCTTGGCTGCAGAGTCTGCGCCCTTCTGAATTATGACATTTTCATGCGTGGGCTCTTGTTTTCTGCGTAAGTACATTTATTCATCTCACTACGGTGGGGTATATATTTGACACACGCTGTCTAACGGTAGCGTACGTGCGGCGGGTCGCCCTGCTTCAAATTTTCCATAGAGAAAGTGGAACGGGAAGGCTGACTCACAGCACGTCGTAAGGGGACGTGGCCACCTGTTAAAGGGCGATGGGATAGATTTGCCAACTCGGATCGGGGAATTTTGCAGTGGTAATCAGAGTCGTCGGCTGCCACGTGCTGTGACACCTGCAGGATCCCGGTTGTCTGTGGGTGAAAGTGTAGGCCCGGGAAGTCGAGGGTATTCCGTTGTCGATCTTGGGACCAGACAGCAGGAACTTCTACATCAGCCTTTTTTGGCATTTATACAGGAAACACATTTTTCTCTCAGGCTATTCTTACAAATTTTAAGAAAATGTGGCGGGGGGCGGTTAAGGATGAATTTGACTCTTTCTAGGAAGGGATAAGGAAGGATTTTTTTTTTTTGTGGGAGGGGCGCTAAAAATGAATTTAACCTTTTGGTATGTGTGTGGGGATAGTTAAGGGCGAATTGAACAACAATAACGTATATCACAAGACCAGTGGCAGTCCTTCCCTCGCCGTTCGCATCTGGTCCGTGGTGAGTAGGTCCTCAGTAGGTCTGCTTCGTAACGAGGCGCAATGTTGCTATGGGGTAGGAGTAGTAGCAGGAGCAGAAGCAGGAGCGGCGGCGATCCACACCCATTCAGACATATATATATTTTTATTCAGTTTGCAACCAACCTTTGTGCTGGGATTAGGTCGTCGTGACCCCGTTCTGTGTGAGGAGGATGTTCGCCTCGTCTAGTTCAGACCGTCACAAATAGTCAACAGATTCCAGTGTGTGTGTGTGTGTTTTTTTTTTTGTGTGTGTGTATGTGTGTGTGTGTGTGTGTGTGTGTGTGTGTGTGTGTGTGTGTGTGTGTGTGTGTGTGTGTGTGTGAACGTTTTAAATAAGGATCATATGGAATAGTAAGATCATCTCTCTCTCTCTCTCTCTCTCTCTCTCTCTCTCTCTCTCTCTCTCTCTCTCTCTCTCTCTCTCTCTCTCTCTCTCTCTCTCTCTCTCTCCTTCGATCCTTCCCACTCCCCCTCTCCCTCCTCCCCTCTTTTCTCCCTTCACATTCGCATTCACATAGCGCATACACACACACGCACACGCAACGCTTACACAACAACGCACGCATACACATACACACGCTACACACAACGCATATACACACAATACACACACCCACACACATACACACACATACACACACACACACACACACACACACACACATACACCACACACACACACACACACACACACACTCACACACACACACACACAACACACACACACACACACACACACACAACACACACACACACACACCACACACACACACACACACACACATACACACACACACACATACATGCACACACACATCAACACACATATTCACACACACTCATACACACACTTTCACTCTCACTCTCCTCTTCTTGCTCGTTCGCTTTCCCTGAGTTCCGCGGAGCACTCTATCTCTCTTTGTCATGCAAGAAACCTAATTTCGCGGAACAAAATTAAGAGATTATTACAGGTCTGTTACTTTTCTCGCGTCAGTTATTGTTATTGAAGGCTGCAGACGGACCAGCGACGCGGCACGACTGGTAATTGCCAACCATATGGGCTCCTGCCGTCCTTGTCTGGGCGTCGGTCTGAGGAGACTGTTGAAATTAACGTCCTTGTTTTTTTATGCACAGGAAGGAGCAGTTTTACTCCCAGCTGTGGTGTATGTTTTATTGAGTTGGTTTCTGTGTGTAAATTTAGTTTGACAGGTCGAGTGTCGAGGCCGTGGAATTCAGATGTTTGTTCTCTTTTCCGCTTTTACAACCGTTGTCTACACGCGTTCAGTCTGTACGTCAGTTTCTTTGTTACTTTCTTTTCTGTTTTCGTCCTTCACATCAATCCACCGGTATCGGTACAGTAAGATCGAATGAATATTTTACGCAAACGCTGCAACCGTGTATGACTTTATCCCCGCTTGAGACGATGGCCTCAGTAGGTGTTTGATGACCTCTTCACACTTGTCTTGCCGAAGCACCATCACGTTTTTTTGCCCACACACTTGTCCGTCCTCCATTGCACCTGTTGGTGATGCCAGAACAGGCGCCATGCACTTCCTGGGCGTCGGTGGGTTCGCCTGGCCAGCAAGGGGGACCTTTCAGACATTGAGATATGCTTGTACGTGGAGTTCTTTGCCATTGGTTCCTCTTGTATTCTTGGAATTCGCCGTTCACCTGATCTCATAGACGGTAGCGGAACCATCAAAAATCAGCGTTGCACGTTTGACGACTTCTTCCTCCCCCTGAATTATTTGAGGCGTGCGGGATCCTCGACCATTTGGGGCTTTGTAGGAAGTTCTAGAATTGGTTGTGGTCAGCCGTTTGGGCCTTGGGAAGAATGTGTGGTTGGCGATGAGAGTGAGCAAGTTGGGGGAACTCGGAGCGGAAGAAGGGGAAGCAGAGGGCTGTGACTGGCGTTAAAGTATGAGGCTGCGAGTGTCGTTTGTGAATGATAGATTGGCCAGGTGGTTTTTTTTTTTTTTTTTTTTTTATATTGACGGATAGTGGGGACGCCGCTTGGAAAAGTATAGCATGTTAGAGCGCAGTTCATTCGCACCGTCGCAGATGTAGATACCATTTGCTTGTTATTACAGAACTTCCGGTTTTTAGATACATCGGAGTTTTCGGATGAGGAGAAGATATAAAGATAGTGAGTTGTATTTTTCGTGATTGAATTACAGATGCCTTTCACATCCGTTCAACAAATCTGCCAGTGTGATTTTTTTAAAACCTTCGAAAAGTAAATAAAATTTTGGAACGTATCCAAAGAACTTTATCCATCTTGCAGCTATTAAATTTTCCTTTCCACATTGAGAGTTTGTTTGGTGTAACAGGCTTATGCAGCCTCTCGCCTT